CCGTGTAACCCTAAACTTTTCATACGAAACATTTTTCTCTATCCCTACTAGTTTTCGAGATATTTGACTGGATCACTTCAGATGGTCCACCCTGTATGGTAAGGGAGGAATTACAAAGGAAAAAGTTAAGGGTGAGGGCGGGAAAAAGAGCGTGAGCATTTTAGGAGAGATTAGGGGGGTGAGGGGGAAGTGGGTTGGCGCAGTTATGTTGGGAGGAGGTGAGAGGGAATATAAGAAGGGGGGAAATGTGTTAGAGGAGTGGGAGAGGGAGAGGAAGCAATTTTGTAAAGACGGGGTTGGAATTAGAGAGTTGGCAAAGGGGGGAGGGAGAGATGGGATAGGATGAGTTACAGGAAAGGGATAGGGAAATTCAGAGGGTGGAAAGGTGGGAGAAAATAAGGGTAACGAAATTTAATAGGTGGATGGGTAAAGGGGAGGGGGTTCCGGCGTATTTAAGAAAGGGTTGGGGGAGGGGAGATGGAGAAGGGTGGTGTGATTTAGACTGGGGAATAAGGTGAGGAAAAGTAGATATTGGGAGGGAGAGGAGGAAAGAAATTGCAAGCTGTGTAGGAGTTGGGTGGAAACATGGGAACATATGTGGGAGGGATGTAGGAGTTGGAGGAAGGGGGAGGAAGGAAGTTGGCAGGAAGTGATTGGTAGAATATTGGGGGAAGAAGGGGATGGGGAGGGGTGGGGTGATCCCGATTGATCACGGCTTGATTGGACACCACCAATCACAGCGACCAGGTGCCTAGGAGCTTTGTAGTCTCAAGCGCTGTGAGTGGCTTGTGTCCAATTGAGTCGTGTCCAACTGGGTGCCACCCACTTGCATAGTCGCATAAACATATGCATAAAGAAAATCATCCAATCGTAGTTTACATTTGTCTATATGACAGAAATGTGATTGGAAAGGCTAAGATAGGTTAAGTTAGTTAAGGTAGCGTGTTTTTTAGTAGTATAAGTGTGTGTAAAATGTTGTAATCCCTAAGGAATCAATAAATTCTATATCTATCTATATATCTGAGATCACAGTTGTACGAACCGAAAGTAAGTAAATTTTTTAACTTTTTTTCGATTTTCTCATGAAATACAGTTGAAGTCCTGTTTGTGCGTACTTTAATTTATGTAATAATACTTTTGTAATCCGTAAATCCAATTCGGAGATTTTTCATCCAATGAAAATGTGGGTAAAACAGGAGGTTTTAGCATGGCCTTAACCTCGATAAATATGAAATCTCTAGTTAAATGCTACCAACGCTATGCTAGGATCATTCATGGAGCTTGCTAACGCTATCGCGCTATTCACTCCACGAACAGCTCACGTTGTGTCCAGCGCGAATAGAGTCTCCCCGAACGTACCCTTAGTAACGCATAAGCAATAAGCCCTTTTTCCTTAGCAATCTATCCTTTTCTCTCCTTTTTATTATCTTATTTTCTATTTAAGATTTTAATAATTTAAAAAAAATCTTCTCAATTTTAAGTCCAGTCACATTTAATTAGAACAGAACTTATAAACAAGTTTATCTCTCATCTAACAGGAGATTCAGATATTAATTAATTGATAAACAAGATAGCAAGAGAGGAACAAAACTTCACAGTATAACAATAATCTTAATATTTAGTCAATTAAACAGAGATCAATTCTAATACGTACAGAGATAGACTGCTTATTCTAAACTAATCTGAAACTATAAAGTTATCTAATATCGCCGCTGCAAGGTCTTGCAATTAACACAACCGCTTGGTACCAAGGTCCATAGGAAAAAGGAGCGAGCAACAGCGATGTTCTAAACTTTAGACAGATGAGTAACCGAAATAAGTGCCATCTCTATCGATTAGTTTAATGCAATTACTAAGCGATCGATAATATAGTTCATATTCTCAACACTTGCGCATTACATTTTTTAGTTTATATATTACTATACATCATTTCTTGTTGCACCAATATGAAATGAGCATCATGTTAAAATTTGTTCTGCAATATTTTATAGGTGCAATAATGGCACTTGGTTGCGGCGACGGATCGGTTCGACTCCTAGATCGGAGATTGCCTCCGACAGAAGCAAGAGTGATGACTTGGAGGGAACACACCGCTTGGGTGTCGGGTACATTTTTAAGGGAATCTGAGGGATCTGCACCGCAACTATTTACCGCATCTTCCACAGGTGACATAAAAATCTTTGATCTTAGGAAAAATTCTTCCGTGAGCACGATTCAAATAACACCGGGGATTGCGGCATTGACTGTGCACGAAATAGCTGATGTTTTCGCATGGTGAGTGCGATTAAACTTATCTTTTTAATATTAATGAATTTATAGTTAATCAAACTATTAATATATATGTATAACTATTGTACATTTTGTTGGCTATAATTTCTTATATTGTTTTAATGATAATCTTCCATATTTTCTTTCTTAGATTAGAGAAAGATGAAAAAGATTTTTGTTTTAGTGGCACCACAAGTCATTGTATCAGCATCTACAACATATTGGGACAACATCTCAATACGCTGAAATTTCACGAAGGATTTATGGGTACACGTCTCAGTCCGGTAAGCTGTCTGAATTTTCATCCGTATCGCGTAACTTTAGCGGCTGGGTTTGTGGACAGTACCTTCACGGTATACGAATCACGCAGATGACTATTAGAGATGGAACTCGTGTAAGATTCTTGTAAGATTTTGTAAATTTATAAAAGCGCCTCACGTTCTTTTTTGCGTTCGCTTTTACGTATTGCAATATTATCGATGAAATTAGGGTTTTTTGTTCCCGGTGTTTCCGCGAGAGAATCATAGAATTACTAATCTACATCGACGATAAAGGCCATTTTCCCGTCATTTCTTCTCGCTAGTATATTGACGATCTGCCTGCTATTTCATGCAAAATATGGAGAAAGAACGTAGTTGTAGCTTTTGTGATAAAAGTGAGAGTGGGAAGGAGGATTAACCAAAGTATTTCGAGACAACCAAAGAATAAGTTACTATCTTGTGCGCAAAAATCATACCAAGATAGTCATAGATTGACTATCTTATATAATTTTTGCGTACAAAATAGTAACTGTAGACAGAACTTTGGTGTCCCGGGAAATGCCGATGCATAAAAATATATGTACATTGTGATAAAAAGTTAATGCGAGTTTACGTAATCAAGAAAAAGATTAATGTTTAATGAAAACTTTACGATCAGTACAGTGAGAGATAATCTCAACTATTGTGCCATGTAATATGCTACTTCAGAATTAAGCTGTTTCCATACAGATATTGATGTAATCAAGATATTTTAATTATCAAATTGATCACACTGTGGCTGTGTAAATACGGCTCGCATTATATGCATTTTTATAAATTACGTGAGTGACAATTGTTAGAGTATACGTTTCGCTATTGTTTGTCGATTCGATATATAACGTTAACTTCCGTTTTTAAATATTATTTCTATCATCGTATTCCTGATCAATAAAATAATGTAATTCCGTTTCGAACAATTTTAATCATTACTGATATCGTACAAACTTTGCTTAAATATGTAAGTATAATTTTGTAAGTAGCAAGATGACAAAATATATTTGTTACGTCTATACGTTTATTCGAGTGGCAATATTAGATATAAACCGTACGTGTGTGTGCAATATTTGTAGATCGTGATATTCATCGATCTAAATACATATACATGCATATACAATTACAGAAATTTCTAAATACCATTTACAAAGCTGAATAAGCATGAAAATACAATAATAGAGGGAGAGAACGGACATGATATTTTTTTATATGAATGTGCAACCTCTGATTTATTATTTATATAAATTATTTTACAAGCATTTTTAATTGTATCCATTATGGCTACAACGAAGCGTCGTGTCGTTTGAATTTTTATTTCTCAAGCTCGAGGGTCTGTTGTCATTTTTGTCCATTAGCAAAGCATTTTAATCATGTTACATATGTCCTGTTAAAAATTACTTAGTAAAGTATTTAGCGATTACCGCGACCCCTCCCTACGGTACATACATGACGAAATTATTAGTGATCGCATCTGCAATCGCAGTCACGCAATTGTATTGACCACAAATAACGATGATGTATTTTAAACAATATGATTATTTGGTAATTATGTTATATAGGTAGTAACTTGTTCTGTTCCATCCACGGTAAGATTTTTTCAGCAGAAAAACGTATAATGTGCTGATACTCATGGAGATAGAGAAAGCAATCTAGCTTCTTTACGGTGCGTAATATAATATATGAACAAGCAAGTTATCGCTAAGTTAGGAATACAAGTAGAACACGTTGATGTTATACGAGCAAAAATCGGTTATATTATTGTAACGATAGACACATTGTAAATATACATAAATACGTAAATAGGATATTCTCGCCGTAGAAAGAGAGAGAAAGTGCGACAAGTGCATAAGACAGCTCTTTGTATTTCTCTTTATATCACACGATAGAGTTTTGTTATTGACACGTTGCATAATCTAGGCATGTGCACAAGAATCGATGAATTTGCGTGTGGTATTATAAGAGTTCTACCAATCGCAGATTTGTACAGATACGTAGATGCAATACGTAGTGCCAGATGTACTTAATCGCTCATTGTCGATTATGGAAATCATGCGTTTCTGTCTCCCTCCCTCCCTCTCTCTCTCTCTCTCTCTCTCTCTCTCTCTCTTCCTTTCTTTTTATCAAAACAATTTGTTTTTCTATATTTCACTGTTAACGAATTTAACATTATCCATTGTGTATTTATTTCGATAGACACTATCTATTTTTAGTACGTACCACTGTGCCTGTTAGATTAGTCGTTCAACGCTGTTTTTGTCAATAACACAATGTTTATTCTTCGTTATTTCACTCATTTCAATTCTCAACATTGCACTTGGATGATAAAACAATAAGATTGAATAAGAGAACATGAAGAGAATAAATCATGCTTTAGTCGAAATCTAATATTTTAAACTAGATTTATATTGCTGCGAAATACTAGTATGGAAAGAACATATCTTAGTCGAAGAGCTTAGTTAATAGCATTTTTCTTCTTAAAGAAAGTGAAAAATAAGAAAAATTGATTTGAAAGTTTTGCTATAAAAGTTATGTATTTGTAACGGCTTTAAATAAATTTTTAAGTTTAAACTTTTGTAGGAGGAAGAGGAAGAGATTGGATGTGAAGACGAGATTAGAGTGGACAATTGAAGTTTTGGTACCATCAGAGATTACTAACGAATTGCATTACAGCCAATGCTACAAATAAAAATTTACATTAATTTATTATTCTTTCATTACAAATTGTAAAAATTTAAAAATTGTTCATTCCAGTCTCGTATATCTGCGTATGATCTTCTCTTAAATTTTAGTTATATGTCACGAGTGGCATCCATATAAACGACTTAAAAAGAAACGAATTGAAGGATGTATGGGTGATATTTCAACATAATAACAAAATTATGAAAAAATTACAGATTATTTGAAATCACATTTAAAAGTAATATGACAAATCAGGTGACGGTTTACTATCTGAATCATAAATTATTTTAATAAATAATAGTATTTTTTAAATATGCTCTAATAAAAATGTATGGAAATGTATTATATAAAAGAAATAATAAAAATCTCAACTTTTTAATATAAGTACATTATGTGTTCAAGATTATTTATGTAAAGTTATATTGCGATGCATGGACTAGTTGTTCAGTAAATAAACAAAATATTTATTTGTTTTATATCTTTGTAATTAATCAGTGAATTGCAATGAAAATTTTAAGTTATTTTAAATATTTAAAGTACTTATAAAAAAATTTAGATTTTTATTATCACTTTTTAAATTTTAATTTATAACAATAAAAATTATTAAAATAAATAAACTATAAAAATATGTTGTTCCATAAAAACGGAATATTTCGAACACAATTTTTATACATATATATAATTTGGGTAAATGTTAAGAAAAGGGGAGCCACCTCCGATGACCTTGACCTTGACATATGTTGCCAAAGTCGTGACTCTGAGTGACCTACACCAGGTTTTAGGTGGCGGTCGCTGTCCGTTAAAAAGTTATGAACAAAAAAAGTTCAACTATATAATACGAAAATTCCCTGCTTTAAAATATGTTTGATAGTCGTGCACTGTAAGGAATGCCGTGCCAACCGCGACTTTGACATATGTTGTCAAGGTCATGACCCTGAAAAGCCTCCAACAAGTTTTAGTCGTCGCTCGTTATTTAAAAAATTATTAACAGTTAAAGTTAGTAATTATTTCACTGCCTTACATGAAAAGTCAGATAACTCTGGGCAATAAAGAGAGGTATAACCCAGAGTTACCTGACTTTTCATGTAAAGCAGGGAATTCTCGTGTTACATAGTTGAACTTTTTTTTGTTCATAACTTTTTAACGGACAGCGACCGCCACCTAAAACCTGATGGAGGTCACTCAGGGCCACGACCTTGACAACATATGTCAAGGTCATCGGCGGTGGCTCCCCTTTTCTTAACATTTACCATAATTTGTTTAAAGTATAAATATTAACATTTGTAAAAATAATGCCCATACATCCTGAAAAAGATTCACTTTTTTTATCGCCTAGCGATGATGATAGACTGGTTCTGAAAAAGATTCGTAACAGTTCGAAGATAGTTCCGCAAACGGATATGCTGAAAAAAATATGTATGAATTTTCATTCAACATCTTGTGTAAGAAACCATGCAATATAATTTCGATAAATTCAATTATTAACGCTATAAGCTGACATCTTGTCACTTAGCTGAATTATGAGATGTGCAGTATAGGGAAAAATCGAGAAAATCCTTTTTTTTTTTTTCACATGATTTGATCGCAAGAAATTACTTTATGCCATAAACATGCACATGTATCCAAATATGAACTTGGCGAGATTATATCGATTATTCTCGTAAATACATAGTTCCACAATAGCTGCTCTACTCTTATGTATATTGAGTACAACTTGACGATCGCGCCGTTATTATATCATTAGTTAGCAATAATTGCGCTAAGGATTCACAGACGTTTATGGAATACAAGGAATGTCAAATACCAAGTATCAACGATTTTGACACTGTATGTGTTGTACATTTGTGTAATTATGTAATTGCCTCGTAGTTAAATATAATATTATCACGTTACGCCGATCTTGTATAAATAAGATAAATTTGTAATTTTGTTCTTTTCTTTTTCCTTCTTACTTTCTATTTCATACTTGTTAGATACATCGATATATCTACCACACTCTGAATCATTGCAGATATGATGGGATCATATTAAGGAAAAAAAAATTTACAAATATATTAAATATGACTGGTTTGAAATCGTTGGTGCGATTTCTTCTTAATTCGTTGCTCGCGCGTAATGCGTTAGTGGTTAGTGCAAGGTTGTCGGCACAACTTATCGACGATATGTGTTAGTGACGTGGCAGGGTTTATTCAGGCATGAATTTCTCGGCGAATCGTGCATTCGTGCATGCAGAATGCCACCGCGGGTGGCAGTGGTTGAAACGGCGCGATAAGAGAGCTTTTGTTTAGTTACATCGCGTTCCCAGCATAGAACGTGGACGGGACGATCTTATTGATTGATTTCACCGTGACATGGAATTCGTCGTTATTATTCGATCGGAAACGTGATGTTATTTCACGCTATTCTACAAACGTTCCAGACACGTGTGACGTGTGACTCGTTTCGTTGTATAACGACAGATATGCTTCGAGAGCTAATTTATTACTTTCATTAATGAGTTTAATTTTGTATGTGCAAGAGCGACAACTTATCTTATAAATACTAATAAGTCGTTCGCATCATATTAACTATATTATTTACGCTTGTTCTTTTATGTATTATGTTAATTACGTGACTTTCTTAAGTATGTTGTATGTATGTACATACAGGCTGTATGTCTAGATAAGATAGTCATATTTGAAGGAAATTTATGCGATTTCTCGAGTTTCTGCTGTCCCAGTCCGATTTGAATGCAGCGCAGAGTGACGAGTTTCATGAATTTTATAAATCAAACTACAGGGGGTCAATTGTGTATCTCGAAATGAGGTGAAAATTACAAAAATGAGCAAATTTACTAGAATATTCATCATTTAATTACGCAACATCTAGTGAATTTGCTCACTTTTGAAATTTTCACCTTATTTCAAAATACACAATCGACTCCCAGAAGGAAGGACGCAATAGTGCGTACTGTTGTATATTATAAAGTCATTGTACACATTGATTTAATCTAAATGTAAAAATAAAATGCAATATTTCGAATTATAAATAAAATACATACTTTATTTAACAGCACAATAAAATGTATTAGATTTCACGATTTAATCCGTTTCCATATTATCATCTCTTTATTTGAATTTGTGTACGACTTTAATAGTGCGTACTGAATGAAGCTAATCGAATTTGATATTAATTTTCATGATTTCAATTTCATGAACCGATACACGTACATGTACGTGCACATTTAAAGTCTTGCGTTCAACTCACGTAAATATTCTTTCGCTGAACGGATTTGTCACGTGGTGAACGAACATTTTGGAACGATTATCCAGGACCCAGTGCGTTTTCTTCGTAAATATTCGTGAGGATGCAGGTGGAGGTTAATGGCTTGATGGATAATATAGGGTGTTTCTATTTGCACCGAAAACATTTGTTTTTACTTTTACATTTTTATCTTATCTGTGCTTTAAAAAAATTTCCGCTATTCATAGAACGATCATTGTTCGCAATAAGGAACATTAGAGAGGAATGCTCTTCATTAGACAAATCAGGTTAATAATCTGATGATACATGATCGAAAAACAACAGTGAATATCGGAAGTTATTTCACGCTTTTTATCGAACAAGTGTTCTCCGAATACACATTTCTTGATTTATGCAGTTCTCGTGTGTGCGTGCGTGCGTGTGTGTGTGTGTGTGTGTGTGGGTGTAAGGGTGTGTGAGTGTGGGTGTGTGTGTGTGTAGGAAACGTACCTAGTTTAAGATAAAAATAAAAATATGGTATTAAAAAAAAATACGGAATTTTTTAAAATAACTTTTGAAATATTTACAAAGAGAAGTACTAATTTTATAATATTTTAATAATGTTAAACTAGTTGTAAATATTCTCGTCTATATAAAATATATATCTTTTATTATGCAGGGTGTCCCAAAATAATCACTAAATATTTCATGAGCAGGTAGAGCGGACTAAACTGAGTCGAAAAGTCCTCTATCATTTTGCAATTTTCGCAATAGTTAACAAGGTATTAATTACTACTCTATAGGCGCATAATATTATTTAATATTAAGTAATATTTTAAATATATTCTTAGAATATCAAATGTAACATTTCAAGAACATTTTACTAAAATTGTATAATATTAAATAATATACTCGAAATATTAATGGAGATTATATATGTTCATTCTCGATAATGTGTTATATTATTATTAAAACTAACATTATTTAATTGTTACTGTAATATTGTTTAAACATTGAGAAGTATTATAATATCATTTACTTTAATTTGTAAAACTGCTACAGCTGTTCAGAATAAGTATACGTTTAAAGACTGAAAATGATTTTGGCGCGCAGTTGTACTAATCACGCTGAAACATTTTTTTAAGCACAAGATGCAACATAGACTGATAAGAACTTTTCGTTACTGGATTATGAATTCAAATTGCATTAAATTAAAAATAGTTAATATTTATAAATATTTTAATAATAGAAAGTAATAATGTAATCTTCTTACGGACTCTCCCAAATTCAACAACAAAAAATCTAAAAAAACAGGGCGAATGAGTCAGTGTGGTAATTAATACGCAATCTTAAATCTTCAATCCAGAAAATAGAATCTTTATTCCAAAAAATATAATAGTACGTTTCAGTTCACTTTGGAATCATCCTCAACAATACAAATTCAAAATATTAATCCCTTCATGTCCAAGAAAAAATCACCATTAGATTAACAGATTTGATGTTGTAATCCCAAGGCATAGAAGGAATTCGTCGGGACATGACATTTAAGTTATGTTTCGTTCGAGCTGCGATCAACATGCGTTTTTTTTACAATAATTTGATACTCTTTAGTGAATATTAATTGTAATTGGTTGATTCAATGTCGAGACGAATTCCTTCTATGTCTTGGAATTACAACATCAAATCTGTTAATCTGATGGTGATTTTTTCTTGGATATGAAGGGATTGAATTTGTATTGCTGAGGATGATTCCAAAGAAAACTGAAACGTACTATTATATTTTTTGGAATAAAGATTCTATTTTCTGGATTGAAGATTTAAGATTGCGTATTAATTACCACGCTGACTCTCATTCGCCCTGTTTTTTGGATTTTTTGTTGTTATTTTAATAATATGTGAGAAATATTAAGGATACAATAGTAAGGATATTATGTAAGTGGACATATACCTCTATAGAACACTCTCGTAATATTAAAAATTATTATATGATATTCTCAAAATATTATAATAACTTATTTTAATTTTTTAATAATATCCATATAACATTCTAGGAATATTTTGCGTTTATATAGAAAAATTGCCGAAAATTGGTCTTTATTAATTTTTACTTATTAATTTTTTACTCAAATGCTATCAACTTTACAGAAAAACTACAAGAGATAAAAATTGTTGATTTTCTTCTCATAGAACTCTAAGAATTTTTTCAGAATTTTTTAATACCGTATTTTCTCATGTTGGTAAAAATAAGAAAATGTTAGTAAAAATAGGAAAATACAGTATTAAAAAGTTAATAAAAATTCTGAAAAAATTCTTAGAGCTCTATGAAAAAAAAATAAACAATTTTTGTCTCTTGCAGTTTTCTGTAAAGTTGATAGTACCTATTTGAGTAAAAAATTATTGAAGACCAATTTTCGACAATTTTTAGTAATTAATATCTTGTTAACTATTGCGAAAATTGCAAAATGGTAGACGACTTTTCGACTCAGTTTAGTCCGCTCTATCTACCCAAAAGTGAATGGCAAAAAAGGTCGTGACACCCTGTATATATATACAGGGTGTTCGATAATTAATGAAAAATCTTTTGCATAGGGGCAAAATGGACTAAACTGAGAAGAAAAGTCCTCTACAATTTTGCAATTTTTGCAATAGTTAATAAGATATTAATTGCTAAAAATTGCCGAAAATTGATTTTTAATAATTTTTTACTCAAATACTACCAGCTTTACAGAAAATCTGCAAGAGACAAAAATTATTTACTATATTCTCATAAAGTTTTGAGAATTTTTTTAGAATTTTTTAATACCGTATTTTCTCATGTTGGTAAAAATAAGAAAATGCAATACTAAAAAGTTGATAAAAAATTCTGAAAAAATTCTTAGAGCTCTATTAGAATATATATAGTAAACAATTTTTGTCTCTTGCAGGTTTTCTGTAAAGCTGGTAGTATTTGAGTAAAAAATTATTGAATACTAATTTTTCGACAATTTTTAGTAATTAATATCTTGTTAACTATTACGAAAATTGTAAAATGGCAAAGGACTTTTCTTTTTAGTTTAGTCCATTTTGCCCCTATGCAAAAGATTTTTCATTAATTATCAAACACCCTGTATACACACACACACGACACGCACGCACAAGGTCTTGTGTACAATAGAAGAAATGTTAGAAGCAGAAATAAAATACTAGAGAAATAAAAAAATTAGGAATATAAGTGGACGCAAAGACATTTATGTCTTACATATTTGTATCCATTGTACGTTTTGTCGAACAACTCGGTGAATTTAGCCGTTGGTCGGATCTCGATCGAATTGATTCGCGCGAGTTGGGCGAATCAAAAGGAGAGGGAAGAGGCAAAGTAGGGAGAGCACAACCACAGCCAATTGCCGAGTGCCGACCAGCCGACAGCGTTAAGCGCGACGCATGGGCTCGTAGCCTCGTACGGCGTGTGGCGTAGCGTAGCGAGTGGCAGCGAGTAGCGAGTGCGGTGGAGCGCGGCGACGCGACGTCTTGGCGTCTCGTCGCTGCTTGTCGCTCCGCTCGCGATTACTCCACTCTGACTCTGGTCTACTCGCGGCGCGCAGCTTGTCGTGTCGTGAATGCCGCTTGCGTCAGTCTACTTTGAGAAGTCGTGTGGTATTCATCATGTGCAGTGTTGTTCACGCCTACGCTTATGAAACGTCAACGATACGCAACATTTGAGTCCGTTTCCTCGTCGCGTTCACCTGACGTTCTTCGACGTCAGACTTCACTATCACTGATCACCGGACTGAGCACCTGAACGTTGCAGCGCAGCGTCTCATTGCATTTCGTAATCAACGGTCGTAATAAACGCAACATGGATCGATCGTCCAAGTTAATTCTACGGAAGCTCATCATAGACTTCCTCTGTCTATTTGTCGGTAAGTAAAAACGCCAGATTTTTGTGTGGAGTCATTTCGAAAGAACGCGTTACACATCGAATGACCGGCTACATGTCAGATTGACGGAGTAGAGGCGCCGCGCGTTGCGCGCGGTTTGTTTGATGTTCGTCCGCGCTAAGTGAGGAGGGTGTAACCTTTAAATTGGCAGGTGCACTTTGTCCATGCCAAAACATTGCACGTACAGCTCTCTCTCTCGACGTCACTTCGTGCATTGTTAATGCGATGTGAGCACGGTTTCCGCGAATTGCTTTGGCAGATATTGCGTTCGCGAGGTGTTCGCTAGAGAGATAACGAAAAATGTAAGAAAGTGAGAGACAGCGCTACTCTGTTTCGAAAGTACGCGGGATTTTAACTCTTAGTGTTATGCATTCCGCAGCGGCACTTACAATGGAATCCCTTCGCTAAATTTATACCGCAAGAGCTCTAATGGTTTTAATCTTCGTCTGCTTGAGTTTATCTAGGGTACTTTCTCTTAAAAAAGAAAGTGGAAATTCTTAAAATAGTAAACTTGGCGTAGTATGTATATTTTGTATATTAAGTATTCAAAAAATTTTTTAATTCTCAGAAATAAAGTCGCAAAACTTTATTAATCTTTTGGCATTTATATAGATTTTCGAAGAACTATACAATTTACGTTCATATCAATGTAGATTAACACAATAAGGATATACAATCTTTGTATTCTTATCTATTAACCTAACCTAACACGATAAAAGAAATTGGATGCAAACAATTTTTACATTTAACATAGTTAATATATGCAAGTAAGTGCATCACGTAATAAAAATTAATTGACCAAAATTATGTTATACTTGCAAACAGTTTTAAAATTTTGCTTCCAGATATTCTTGTCTTGTTCTATGAACTAGATATTACAGTATTGATTTGCGAAACGACATTAGCGATAACGTGACTTTCTCGCGGCAATTTGTGCATCCCCATAGGATTCTATACATGGATAACATTAATAAATAGGAACAATATAACCGTATAGACAATGTCTCAAAGGAAACAAAAGATAAGTCGTTTCAAATATTAATAGATTAATAGCTAATAGTGAAGCCAGCGCGATTTAATGGAATAAAATAAAGTAGATCGTGATTTCGTTCCGCGAGTGAAAACACTCCACTTTTCCAATCAGTCAGTACTTATCAGTCTTCATCATAATAGCGACATGATGGATGGTTAATGCAGTACGCGATGTTTCGCAGAAATGTAGTACATCTCGCACGAACGCGTATCTTGTAAACATACTGTATAAAATCGGTATTGCTTTCGATCGATATCATCTCTCGGTGACGCCAGTGACACAGTTCCACGCGCGATACAAACAGACAATACGGCGCCTTCATGATTCATCTGATCACGAAACTGCGGTACACGCCAACATTTTGTCACTCCCGTTAAAATAAGGTCCATCGCGAAACTGTATTTGTATTGACCTCTTTTGTCGTAACGTAATGAGATAAGTGTAAATATTGCGTAAAACGGAAGAAGTCACTTTATTTATTTTTTACGCAAATGCAGATAAAAACGTTTAGTATAAAAACATAAAATTTGCTTAGAAGAAATATAAAAGAATGTTATTACTTAAAATGTCGAAAAAGCCAACAAAAGCAAATGAATAAGTTTGAAAAGTCGTAAATTTCTTTTGTTATTAAATGTATTTGTTTTTTGTATTTAATGTATTTGATGATAAGATTAATTTGAATTAATTTAATATTTGATGATAAGATTAATTTGAATTAAGTAATTACAAAAAATTTCAAACAAATAATATTTTATCGATTTCGATTATCTTTTTGAGTTTATTTTTCACGTCAGTTGAGTGACTTTTGTCGCAATCTTTGAATTTGATAGTCGATTCCTAACTTATACAGGGTGTTAAAAAATCATTCAGCATTTATATGGTAGATAGTACACACTATACTGAGTAAAGAAAGCTTAGTGAACATAGGTCGGAAGCTCAACCGTTTCTGAGATATAAACGTTTTTGTATGACTTATTTACTACATTTACAGAAGATGTTCTCTTTCCATTTCCATACATGCTTAGCTTCTTCTTACAGAGTCTTTTACAGAGTTCTTCTTGCAGAACGCAGTTTATAAACATTGAGGTAAATGTCGTATGCGACACGTAGAAGCCAGTAAGTCATTCATGATGCTAACATACAAAAATGTTTATATTTCAAAAACGATTGAGCTTTCGACCTATGTTCACTAAAATTTTTTACTCAGTGTGGTGTATACTATTTACCATATAAATGCTGAATGGTTTTTTTTATATAATGTTTAATTTTTATCGTATATGAACAATAACACTTTACTGAATATATATATATATATATATTTTTTTGCTAAGCTAAGGAAATTCAAAAACGCCAAACATAATCACTCTGTAGAAAGTGAATCAGTTTAGTTAATAAATTCAACAAATTAATATTGTCGTGGTAACCAACAGTTTGATTGATCATATATCAACAAATAGTTTTTGTGTCAGTAACAAAACTTTGATTATTGGTACAAAACATTTCGCTCAGTGTAGAAAAATTCATTTTGGAAAAATTCACGCGTGTTCGTAAAATCTACCACGTTTGCTCTCGATTCTTTTTGTAAAGAAAATAATTGCGTATAGGGTACACAGCGGCATAATTTGGATAAGTTAACAGAATTGAAGTCCCATAATGTATTCAATAAAACATACGGAACATACGCTGTTATATGTATTAACTTAAATTACTCTTCAGATTAGTTGTTAAGATTACATTTGTTTCTAAATTAGTTCGTTTAATAATAAATAAATTTCACATCAAGTGATGTAGTATTGTAAACGTAAATATAAAAGTTAACTCAATATTAATTTCAATGCTTTAACGAAGTATCTTATTTTAATAATATTATAAAATGTGAGAATTAATTGTAATCTTTTTTATATATCTAATTTAAACAAAATCTAACACATTTTGTAATGTGCAGATTAAGACGAATCACATAAAGTCTTTATAATGAAAAGAATTATAAATTTTTGAATCTAACCGATCTAACCTACGTGATGTATCTATAGTAAAAACTACTTGCGCAGTACAATGCGCAATCGTGTACTTATGCTTTGCTATACACACCATAGGAAAGTTAGATTAGATTTTACTATAAAAATAGAAGGAAAAATAAAAATTTTAACAAAAATAAGATTACATAACTTTCTGGATCACATTAATTTGATGAAGGACATTAAAAATTAAATAGCTTGTTATATATACTGCAAAAACAGCAATTTTTCCAAAAAAACCAATTTTTCGGGAATTTTTCCGGTTTTTTTCCAGCAATTTGAGAAAAGCGGTTTTTTTAAAACTATAAAATATTCCAAATAGAAAAAAAAATAGATTAAGAACAGCTATGAGCAAAAAAAAATTTTTTTGGCTTATAGTTGTTCTTAATCTATTTTTTTTCTATCTGAAATTTGTGAGCCATTCTCTATTACTTATTTTAATAAATATTCCATAAATAAGTGTTTAATTATCTATAATATACTAATATGTAATTTCAGGAAATTTTATTACAATTAAAAAGTAGTTAAAACTAATAACATTAAAAATTAAAATAACAATAAAAATACTGATATTTTCATTTATACAGTTTTTAAAATTATTATAATAATTATTTAAAAAATCGATTTCTTCGAAACACACTATGAGCCAATGGCTGAAACGGCCGGACACGTATCGTTTTTTTTTTCGCTCAAGAATAGCCTGTAAAAAGCGCATAAAAATCCCCAACCCCGTCACCTGGTGTTCCCCTTGTGAGTGATATTTTAAAACACATTTATTTTTCCTCATTCCTTTATGACGCACTTTTATCATAGTCTCGAGGAAATTGTGTAAAGCCACAAATCGCCAAGTTATGATCACGATTCTAGAAGGAAAAATTTTTTTATTCCATAAATACGATAGAAAACGCGAATATACGGTCAAAGTTAGATGTTTATATAATATAATATAATATTAATAAGATTGGAAATAAGACCATTTATGTTCGAAACATTATTTTAAATACGAAGCGCCACTACAGTCTGAATGTTAATATGTTGAACTATTATATATATTATAATAAATGAATTAATTTCAGAAATTATAATTGCGTGCCGATATGGTTGAAAGTCCGACAACAATTAAAAAATCGTACATCTATAAGTAAATATTTTTATTCTTAAAGTTTTGTTTTATAATCGTATATGATTGTCTGAGATTTTTGATTTCTACTTAGATAGTAAGTGTAGTTCTTACTTAATAAAGTCCAATAGATTTTTTTGTTTATGTGTCTTTGTTATCATATATTGTCAATGTTTTTAAAAAATGAATGGGGATAGTAGACTAACCATGGAACTGTATGACTCATTTAATGATGACTCTTATAGTACTTACTCAACATTTTATTTCTTTAAAGAGATTTTCCTCAGTGGTAAATGTTATACATATAAGTTTAGTTCCCTCATGTCTAATCTCGAAAACTAGGCTCATTCGACATGTTTTTGCACGAAATAAACAAATTTTAAAAAGAAGCATTGGCTGCGTTCAGCAGAGAAAGCAGCTTTGCAACTGTTGTAAAATTCTTCAATATGATTAGTCTTGCCCGTAGTTCCTCATTGGATCTAAATGTATAAACCAATCATATTCAAGAATTTTACAATAATTGCAAAGCTGCTTTCTCTGCTGAACGCAGTCATTGTTTGGCCCTCCGAAGCGAATGTTTGTGTTTAAAATATATTTTTATAAAAGTTTTATTAATATATAGTCAAAGAGCTTAAAATACATTAATATTTATTTTAATAGTCTTAGTCAAATTACCCCGGTTCCGGGGCTAGTTGAATCAGATGGAATGCATTAGAAAAATGCATTTTTTTTCATATTAGTTATCAGTTTTCCTTTATTATTAAAATATTATTAGGTAGTCAAATGTATGTAGTAAGAGAGAGTGGTGTAG